CTATTCAAGTTACAATGGCACTGAAAAAAATGATTTATGACTAGTCCTCACGCTTACAATTGTATTATATGTCTAACATTCAGGTGCTTGGAAATTGGCATGTATTTATGATGATGGCAGCATCCCAGGTTCATATAATGGCCATTTGTGACCTTCCCAGTCTGCTTCTGATAAGCAAAGTCAATGGGGGAAATCAGATTTGCTTAGCAACTGCAGGTTTCACTTGCAGTAATTCAATAATTGCAGTAATTCGCTTAACAATCATGGCAAAAAAGGCATCTCATTTAATAACTACTTTGCTTAGCAATGGAAATTCTGGTCTCAATTGTGGTCCTAAGTTGAGGACTACCCTTATAATGGCTTATCTTTGTGGTGCTTCACAGATAGGAAGATGAGAGCTCTGAACCAACTGACTGCATGTGCTCTAATTTGGTGATTTTCTTTATCTTATTAAAAAGGATTAGGTGAAAGAATCATGTTTATCTAGGTAAATACCAGGTAAAGAATATACTCCTCTTTTATTCTCAAAAAGTGGGAAATAAGCGCAAGTCTTTTAAAGCCCTGTGCTAACCTTCCTTGACTAACTATTCTCCAGTTATGCTGAGATCACATGTACCATAACTGCTAGTTATGACATATCTTAATGCAGCAGAATGGACAAGAGTACCAGTATCCCAAAAAGTCAGTTAACCCCCCACCCCCCAAAAAAGTAATCAGGGAAAATAAGTGGCAATTTGGTTATGGAATTTTTTGGGGAATCAGAATGAGTCCATAATAGAGGTATAAAAAAAGTGTTATACCTCTAAGTGCATGGTTGCAATCATGCTATTTATTTTTAATCCTCCCTGTGAATATTCTTGGTTCTTAAGATATTTTGCCTCCTTTATAGCAAATGAAGATGTAAAATGATTACTGAATAAAAAGTCAAATGGTTAGAACAATGAGTAGCTGCACTTCAAGCTAATAATGGAAAATAAAAAAAATTATCAGTTAAAAAAAGAGAGATGCCTCATTATGAGATGACAGAAGAAATAACTCTCCATAAGGAAGACAATCATATAAACAAGAAGCCCAGTACAGGTAGTCCTCGATTTATGACTATAATTAAGCTAAACTTTTCTATAGTTAAGCGAGATATTTGTTGAGTGAGTTTTGCCCCATTTTACAGTTTTTTGCCACAGTTGTTAAGTGAATCACTGCAGTTGTTAAGTTAGTAAAAGAATTGCTAAATGAATCTGGCTTCCCCACAGACTTTGCTTGTCAGAAGGTTGCAAAAGGTGATCACATGACACCCCTGGGACACTGCAACCATCATAAATATAAATGAGTTGCTAAGCATCTGGATTTTGATCATGTGACCATGGGGGAATACTGCAATGGTCACGTGAAAAATGGTCATAAATCACTTTTTCCAGTGTTGTTGTAACTTTGAATGGTTAGTAAAATGAACTGTCATAAGTTGAGGACTGCCTATAGATGAAAGCAAGAGAGACAGGAAATAGAACTTAGAAACAATTTTCAGGTCTCTGGGACTTCAGGAGAAAGAAAAAAACACTGCAGAAAATATGGAAGGATAGTGATTATATCTATAAGCATCTGTGGGAGGGGCAAGTGACAAGTACATCACAATGTAAACTCATCTCTTTGTATGTGATTTTGTGTGATATTGTAACACAAATTTAAACAAGTGCACTATGATATCATGATCTGTGTCTTTGGAACTGATATTTGCTGCACCCTTCAAGAAAAAAAAGAGAAGAGCTGTGATAATTTGTGATTATGAGGAACTTAAAATTGTATATTCCTATCAGACATTGGCACACAAAGTGTGCTGTTTGCATGGATGAGGAATGTGACAGAACAACTTCCAAGGCATATCAATTCCATTGAAATGATCTCTTTTTGCTAATCTATTTGATGATATAGGTAATCCTCGCTTAATGACTGCTCATTTAACAGCCGTTCAAAGCTACAACTGGCATACACACACATCCTGGTTATGTGTTCACATTTCGGGCATTTGGCAACCAACTCACATTTACAATTGACTGCAATTTGCAACATATTTTGCCATTTTCCAGCATTAAATATCAAAAAATGTTCATTGGATATGTTGAATTCAGTTAATAACTACGTAGTTTGCTTAATAACTTATAGTGACCTGCTTAAAATTGAGTCAGGTCATGTGATGGCCTAATCACAATGATTTACGACCAAAATTCTGGGCTCAGTTGTGGTCATAAGTTGAGAACTGCTTTTAAATGATGCTGCAAAAAGCATAGACTTTGAAGATTTAAGGGAAAAGTTAAAGAATCTGAATGCAAGATGGATTCCTCTTCCATCTTTCTAGTCCAGTGGTGGCGAACCTATGGCATGCGTGCCAGAGGTGGCACTCAGAGCCCTCTTTGTGGGCACTTCTCTAAACGGCCGGTGGCGGGCTGCAGAGCCCCAGAGTGTGCCAGTCGAGGGGCCGGCAGGCTGTGGCTGCTGATGGACACTGTTGGCCCCCATGCTCTCGCTGGCCTCTGTGTGCAGGGGCCGATGGTGTCAGGCAGCAGCCGCTCTGGCTCCTGCTTTGCCTTGCCCTGTGATAATGGCACCATGCCCTGCCTCGCCTTGCCTCACCTCACCCCACAGGACAAGCCTCCTGTCCACCACCCCACTTGCCAGAGACCCCCTGGATCTCCCCCTACTCTGCCCGGCCCCCACAGGCGTCCCTCCCCACGAGCAACATCGAGGTGACCACGCTCACCTTGACCACACCCACCCAGTCTGCCATGACCACCACAGCCACCCAGTGGGCCACGCCCACCTGGCACCCGGCGATAAATAAGTGGGTTTTGGGTTACAGTTTGGGCACTCGGTCTCTAAAAGGTTCACCATCACTATTCTAGTCCATGAAAGGCTTGAAAAGAGAAAGAATAATGGTAACCTGAATGATTGGCTACAAACTTTATCAGATATAAACTTCTTCCCAGTAGAAAAATGTAAGGATATAGTAATGGTGAGGGGAGCTATGAAATCATTTAGTGAAACATTGGAAAAAATATTGGCTCATACGTTTATGAAAAATAAAATGTGCTTTTAATAAAGGTGATTACATTAACATGTCCATGCAGTTTTCTTGGTAATAATAAAACAAAAATAGTTTGCAATTTAATTTCTTCTTTGGCTTTTTCTCCAGTTTGGTCCACAGTTCTGGTATTGCATTCATCTGATACACTAACTATAAAAATAATAAATGCTTTTTCATCAATAGTTGTACAAATTTATTGATTCAGTTGTTTATGGAGAGTATTAATGGCTAATGTGCTCCATGTTTGCTCTCTACATTCTTGAGGTCTTCAGATTAAAGATGTTTGCAAAGATAATTTTGGTCTGTGGAAGTGCTTCTGTCTCAGAATAAAGATTATTGCACAAGTTACTAGCATGACTTACAGGAAGCATAATTCTGGGACACAGTAACAACTGGTCTCACAGTCTGGAAAATTTAAATGCTGATTGAACTTCAATTCTATCTCCTGTCTTATGAGTGAAGTATAGACCTTACAGATAAGAAAATAAAAAGACTCTTCTGGATCAGGCCCAATTAATCCAGTACTCTGTTTCACACAATGGTCAACTAGATGTGTTTGAGCATTTTTACTGCTCTTCCTAGCAATCACTATTTAAGGCAAACTGCCTGTAGTTCTAAAGATAAGCAGCACTGAAGACCCATCAAAATTACTAGTCATTGATAGCCTGATCTGGTTTAACAAAATAAATAAATAAATAAATAAATAAATAAATAGGTCCCCAACCTTTTGGGCACCAGGGACCAGTTCTGCGGAGAGAGGTTTTTCTGCAGACAGGAGGGTGTGTGGTTTTGTGTACTGCCTGCATCCCACAGATGGGGCTTTGCTTGTTTGTGCAGACCAGTTGCTGGCATGTCGCAGCCCAGTACTGGTCCATGGCCCGGGGGTTGGGGACCCCTGAATTAACATATATTTTCAAAGCTCAATCTTTGAATCTCAATACTCAATTTCAATACTCATGGCAAAAAGAAAAGCAAGTTGCTAAGCTAAATTGAGGATAATTGAGGCATCAAAATATGAAGTTGAGTTTTTAACCAACAGAAATGTGACCTTCAATTTCTGTTATTCTCCATGTTAGGCATTAAAGTCACAGAACTGCTAGGCCATTTAGGTTACCATGTCCAGCTCTTGAAGACAAATTTATACTATTCTCTCCTTGTTGGGTGGTATTAAAATATCTTTTATTTGCTGTATTTCAGATTATATGTAGTTATTTTTAGGAGTATCTTCTTGATCCTTGATTAGCTTACCACTTCTGTACACTAGCTGGGTTCATATAGTGACCTCATAATCTAATTATTTGGCTTTGCCTTAGTGCTGTGCAAACCTAACTGCTCTAATTTGTAGATCTGTGGTTTAAAGTTCAGTATTACTTGTAAATCCAGCCAATTCAGATTTCTTTTTATGAGATGTGCTAAGTCACCCATTGAAACAACCATCTGTCATGAAATATGTATATTTAATCAAAAACTGGCAAAACCACAGCCTTTCAGATATTTCTGAGCTATAATTGTAGGTCCTATAATTTGCAGTATAGCAGAAACTGGAAAGCTACAAAGATTTAATGAAAGAAAAGTAGCAAATATTAAAACCAGGATGCAAAATTCTTTGCTTGGGTAATGTGTATGCACATATTATTTTATACACAGAAATATTTTAACTGTAGCAAAATAGAATAAAATAACCACTCCCATACTTTCTAATGTGCTTTGTTTTCCAATAAGCCTGATTGTAATACATCTTTAATTTTTGTGAATTTTGCTTCTGTTTTGTTGTTTAGGTCTTGAAGTGCGAAATACAATTCCACGTCCTTACTTAGTTTGGAGTGCTATTATCAGTAATTGTGACAAGATGAAATACTTTTGCCGAAATAGCTATTTGGAAGTCTTTAAAAATCACACCAATTAGTTCAATGCTTATGAATAACTTTATTAGGAACATGGGCAAATCAGCATTTCATTTATTGATAATACAAGAAAGAAATTCTTTCAGAAATCATAAAGACAGAAATGACTAATGACAGAAATATATATTAAAGGATTATAGATTTTGAGATTCATAATAAAAAGCATAATTTAACATGTATAATTGTTATGTATTCAAGAATGATCATGTATATAGGATCACTGAGGACTTTCGGAACTATATTGATTTAAAGATATTATAATGCTTTCAGGTTGACAAGCCTATTAAAGAATCAGTAAATTACACATTTCAGCTATGTTGATGTTATATATTTATGACTGATTTTTTCTTTATCAGATTTTATTTTAAGCAGCTTTAAGAAAACACTCTCATTTGGAAATAAATCTATCTTTTTCACTGAACTTTAATGGAATTGGAGGAGGAGAGTTCTATTTATTATTTGCTATTTATAACTATCCTATATTCATTCAGTCTTCTCCCATTTTTATGTTATTATGCTTTCACTAAATCCATTAAGGTTAGAAGGCAGTTCATGCCTTTGGACACAGTTGTAATTCTTCTCATTCAACATACATTTCAAATGATATTGGCAGATCAAGTTCTACATAACAGTATATAGATTTGTAAATCATTATAATATTGCAAAGATTAAAACTATTATATTATCTTAAAAACAAAAATATTTGTTGGCATTACATAAAACAGAATGAACCTTTCATTTATAATTTGAAAAAAGGCGGAATCAACAAAAAAATTCTGATTGTCTATTTGGAAAAATCTTTTTTTTTTTTTTTTGCTAGAAAGGCAGAAAACTTCAGTGAAAACAAGCAGGAAGACTAGGTGCACTTTGCATGTCTGAAGAGCTTGTCAGTTGTTCTGTTTAACTTCTCATATTGGTTGTCCTGTTCTGCATTTCATCCAGTCCAGGAATCTTTGCTTTAGTATATGGATGCATCATCATATGGACCCAAATGAGATGAATGCATTCTTGGGCTGGAGGGAGAGATTCTGCCATGACAAAGGGACAATTGTTTGTACAAGAGTTTTAGGTGCCTTCTGAATTTCACTCCAACAAAGACGTAGAGAATTGGGTTGATGCAGCAGTGACAGTAGGCTACTTTGCGGCTGATATCAAAAGCAAAAAATATATGATTGCGAGTTTGACATTCCGGCTTGATGACATGCTGAATAGACAAAACATACACAAAGTTAAACACATTGTAAGGAGCCCAACTCAAGAAAAAGACCACCACGATGGCAAATATGAGTCTCACAGTTCTGTACTTCCTTTGAGATCTTGATCTAAGCAGAATCTTAAGCATCCCAATGTAACAAGCTATAATAACAAGAAAAGACAGGAGGAAAAACGTTACTTGCAGGCTCATCTCTATCAGTTTCCAGAAGAATGACTCTTCATACTCACAGTGTTGTTTGCCATTATTATCAATTATGACTCCAATAAAAATGATCTCAGGTACCGTAACCATTATGCTGCTGCTCCAGATGGCCATGCTCACCAGAATGCCACATTTTTTGGTCTGTGTTCTCATGGTTGATAAGGGATCAACCACAGCCAAATACCGCAAGATGGTCATGATAGTGAGAAAGATGACACCACCATAGTAGCTGATAGAAAAGATAGCACTTACTGCCTTGCAGAGAAATTTACCAAAAATCCATCCATAATAATGATATACAATCCAGAAAGGCAGAGTGCATGAGAAGGTCAAGTCAGTGATGCAAAGGTTCAGAATGAAGAGGTTTGTTAAAGATTTGAGGTTCTCATATTTCATCACGATCCACAAAACAAGGCTATTTCCTACCAAGCTGAAGAAGAAGATCAGAGAATAAAGGATGCAAGTAAATATAGCGCTGAATCTGGAGGTCTCATCCATATTACAATAATTTGTTTCTATTGGAGTGTAATCATAAAATGTTGAATTTGAGGTCCATTCATTATCATCTATTAGGTTAGTCATTTGGATTTGTTGCAGGTTTCCTCACTTCTGCAACTGTAAGGAGTGTTTCTGAAACAAATAGGCTAAATGTACTGGTAATATCAGAACAAAGAAAAGAAGAAGGAAATTACTCAATCACCTGCTATCCACCTATCCTTGAACTGATAATATATAATGTGGATCACTATAGTGAACACCTTCAAAATTTTGGAATTTTGTCACTCCTCTGTCCATCAATGTATTTATATTCCCCCTTTTCTCTAAGAAGCCAAGATGAATTACATAGGGATCTTTCCTATATCTATCCCCATGATAGCCTCAAAGGTGCAATTTACTGATAACAATTGCAAAATACCTGCCATAGTGCATGTAATTAGTCACAAATTCACTATTTACAAGAAGGCAAAAATCTAACCTTTCAAGAACTTTGCCACTACTTGAGCTTTCCTATGAAAGATGGGGTACACGTGCAAAAAAAAAACCCAAAACCCTCAGGGCTGCCACAATATTATCATTTTTTACTTTCAAGATTATTTTCAAGAGTAGGAAAACTTTCATGCCAGAGCCTGGTTTGTTGCTTTGGCTATGTTGCTTAGGCTAGCTTTACATATGTTTTAAATGGAAAAGATAGATGAACTGTGCTTGATATCCTAACTTGTATTTTTGTCTTTTCTTCTCCTTTTCCCCTCTTCCTAAAATTTCTTCACCTGCAGGCAGAGATTGTTTGAATAAGCTATTTCTTTCTAAACTGCTTTTCTTTCCATGCAGGCTGTGCTTCCCTCAAAAGTGCTAATTGCAAATTAGCTCAGCTCTGCAACCTTGATTAGCTAATGAGCATCTAGGCCCAGGTTGCTCTGCTGAAATTGGCATGACCCTAATCAAGTTCAACACAAAGGCTTTCTTTTGTATCTGAAGTGGCTGGGAGTAGTGGCCAAGGCATTCCTTTCAATGTGTGTTCTCCATAGTGTGCTTACTTACCTCTTGTAATCGATTCCTTTCCAATAAGCTAAATACAAACATTGGTTTCCCCTTGCTAATTATCCCAGAACTGAGATGAGGGTTCTAAAGGTTTGGAGAGTGGGAAAGGGGACTGTAAGATTTGTCCCTTTTCCCCAGCCAGGTTTCAAAACATGAACCTTCCTGTTGTTAGGACTCACACAGGTGGTTGGAGTTGTATCATTCTATGTAAGTATTTAGGGGAAATTTCTTGATTTTCCCCCCCTAAGCTTTATTAAAGTCCTGGGTCTTTCTTCACATTCTCCTTCTTTGAAATCTGTCCTGCAAGTGTTGACATGCTGATTAATGGAAACAGTAAGCAGGCAGGCAGAAGAAATGTCAGGGGAAGCATGGAGTCCACTGGACACTCCTGGAAGTGTCTTTAAGTACAGCTGCATTCATAGGTGCCATGCTGATTGATAAATACACTAAAAGCAGGTGTATACATCTTTGGTGATGAAGAAAGATATTGGTAGTTGTTTGACATTGCTGGTGTTGTGTCTATGTTATGTGAATTGGAGGTGAGGAGTGAATTCAGGCAAAGCCACAACTGAGAGCCTAGAGCAGGGGTGTCAAACTCAATTTCATTGAGGGCCGCATCAGCATTGCGGTTGCCCTTGGGGGGGCCCGGTTGGGTGTGGATGGAGTGGGTGTGGCCTACTGGGTAGGCATGGCCAGCTCTACATTGTTCGCGTCAAGGTGCCTGTGGGGGCCTGGGCAGGAGTGGGACAGATCTGAGGGTCTCTGGCAGAAGGGGGTGGGACTGGGGCAAGGGCCAAGTCATGGTCCATTTCTTCATTCCTCACAAAGGGTGACACCTCCCCAGCATGCACCCAGGGGGCGGGGCCAACGCGGCAGGGGCTGGTTCCTCGCTGTTTCTGGACAGCCTTGTGGAGCTAAGACTGAATGCATTTCAGCATAGATGGCCACCACAAAATTGTATATTGGCTCCTGGCCGGCCTGGGCCAGGGCCAAGGCAGCGGGGGGTGTTCCCTCACTGTTTCCAGGTTGGCTTCGTGGGCCACATGAAACCATTTCGCGGGCCGCATCTGGCCCCTGGGCCTTGTGTTTGACATGTCTGGCCTAGAGGAACACATGGGTTTGGAAGAAGGATCTGCAGAATGAGTGGGCTGGTGGAAAAAACTTCATTAGGAAAGGACAGACCAGAGATTAGCAAGAACAGCTTGGCAAAAGTGCTGGAATTCCGACAAGCTCAAGAAAGTGTTGCTTTCTCCTCTTTTCATCTTTCGGCTAAAAGCAAGCTCTCAAAGAGAAAATGCTGAATAATAAAATGAGTGTATCAAAGTTGCAATAAGGAACAGAGAATTGAAAAGGGAGGGAGAATGACATAGTTAAGGAACTGTAAAAAAAAATCAACAGAAAAAAAACTGTCTAAATTTTTAAGCTGCAGCCACTTAGAAATCAGTATAAAAATCAGTTAGAAATCAGTATAAAAATATTTAAAAGTACGGTAGTAAATAAATATCACTGTTGTTTAAATAGAACCATGTATTGGTGTCTGGAAAGTTCTTGTACCCCTTTCCATTTTCCCACACTCCATCCACAGTTTCTTCAGTTCTGACAGATTTTGAAAGGACTCAACATCTTCCTATTTCCAGGTAAGGAAGAGTCATGCAGGCTTTCATCTTATGTGACAAAGTGCATCTTTACCTTATTGACTGAGCCTTCCTAACATGCATCTCCCAGTTTGCATATGAGGAATGCAGACTGATGTTCACTACACAAGAAATTCTTTGCCATCAGAGATGATGACAATTAAATAGATTTAAAAGTGGAAAAGATGAAATTGGCAAGGCAGAAACCAAGATCAGATTTTATATAATCCATATAAATAAGGAAGAGGTATCAATTTCCAAGCCTGAAATACAGGTAGTCCTCAGCTTACAACCACAATTCAACCCAAAATTTCTGTTGCTAAGTGAAACTTTTGTTAAGTGAATTTTGCCCCATTTTATGACTTTTCTTGACACAATTGTTAAGTGAATCACTGCAGTTATTCAATTAGTAACAGAGTTGCTAAGTGAATCTGGCTTCCCCACTGACTTTGTTTGTCAGAAGGTCACAAAAGGTGATCACATGACCCCCGGGACACTCCAACTGTCATAAATACATGCCAGTTGCCAAGTGTCTGGATTCTGATCACATGGCCGTGGGGGATGCTGCAACGGTCATGTGAAAAACACTCACAAGTCACTTTTTTAAATGAACTGTTGTAATTCACCTGTATAATTAAAACTGCAAAATCAGAGAACAACATGGAACTGCTGAACCTCAGTTCTTGAGCTAGCCAAAAATATGCTAACATATAATTTGTTGCTCTGATTGCCAAGCCCTCTTCACCCTATTAATGAGGACAGCAATTGGTTGCTGCCCTCAACTTTTTGGTGCAAACCAACTCAAGGAGAGCAAGACTGGCTTCATTTTCCCTTCTGCCACACACAATTTCCTGGTAAGAAAACAACAGTCAATTGATAAGGTGGGCTGGAGCAGTATTGGATGAATATAAGAGGATGCTTGGAATAATGTGTTTAGTCACACAAGTTATCTGATTATCTGAGTAGAAGCACTAAAATTATGCTTGGGGCATAGGATGAAATAAGTGGGAGCAATCAGTAATGAACAAACTCAGTCCACAATTAGGGCTGCAACAGAATTTCAGTATGGATAATAAACCCAGTTCTGCTTTTGTAGCTGGCACCATCTAGAACAGGGCAGCACAGAGTAGACAAATTGGTGTTATCCATATCTAAAGTAATAACAAGTCAAAAGGACTTTCACACAAAATCTTTTTTTTGACACCCCCAGTGATAATAGAATTACCAATACACAATTGTAGGTCTTATTGATTTAAATCAGCTTTCTCTGAAGCACGGGACTAGTGCTTTCCTGCTTTAAAAATAGGTCTAGGTTTCTTCCATAACAGCATTAAAATTATATTTATTTGGAGCTTATAGACATGACTTCTCATCTGGCTTATATAAGCAGCTGGGTCAACTGTTCCTAAACAGTTCCTTTGGGGGGGGATCACTAATTTCTCTGGTTCATCTAACTTTTATTTTATTTTTTACATTATTTTAATTAAATTGTAAATATGAAGTTCACATGTTGCAAAACAGCAGTTGCTATATTATGTGTGGTTTATCCATAAACTATAAAGAATAGTGCCTTCTTGTTTATCCCATCTTTTATCTTCCGTAATGGATTTAAGTGAGAATAAGGGAAAAGATGGAAGAAACATGGGAAAGTAAAGAATAATAACACATCCCAAAGCTAACTAAAAATTATATAAAAGGGACAGAACAACAGTACCATCTTTTTTACCAGTCCCTTCACCATTCCCTAAATATCTCCTTCAGTTTGATGTTATGCTTAAAAAAAAATCTAAAAAATGGATCTGAAAATTAAAAATAATATTTTAGAAAGACAAACTGCTGGAAGAGAACTACCTTATTCATTTACTGTCTAACACATTGATCTGAATTATGCTAATGAAGCAACATTTGAAAAGTGGTGCAGCTTCATAGGATGGTGTGTGTGTGTGTGTGTGTGTGCGTGCGTGCGTGCGTGTGGGTGTCAAAAAATCAAGATGGCAACGACAACTATGCAACCAAAACTCTGCATTTTGCTTACACAGTTGTTGCACCATTCTGACACCACTACTACCACTATCTCAGACACAGCACCTTATAGCATGTTTTGGTTACTATAATGAAACCTCCCTACCCATATGGAATCACTGTTTTATTTTAGCCCTTGCTCTTAAAATAGCACATACAAATGTTATGGATTATTCAAAAAATTCGGACTTTGTTTTACTGTAATTAATCTTGTTGCATCCCCTGTTGTTTGGAAGTAGTTACTGCAATAGGTTTTCAAAGTACTGTGCAATTAAAAATTGGCAAGGTGAAATGTACAATTAAAAATAATACAGAATGTGTGTGGTTACAAAATCAGCAACAGAAAAGCCCATACATTCCCATATTCAATCTGAAACATCTTTTAAAAAATGCAAAGACATACAATTGAAAAGCAATTTTATATTTTAAAACAGTGATGGCTAGGGCTGTAAAAGGAA